TTTATTTTTCAGATTTTAGTAACATTAAAAGTATTCTTTCTAGAATATAATGAATTCAGTTATGTTCAAGTATTAAAAACATTTAAACTCACGAACATTATGTCATTAAGAAAGATTTATATGATTTTGTAAATATATTCTTCTTGTAAATTATTATATGTTGTAAATTAATTGTATTATGATTACTAAATGTATGTTTAAAACACGTATATAATGAAAAATACATTTAGTATATTTTCAATTACTATTTTGGCATGATTTTTGTTGCATAAATCAATGATAATAGATGATGAAAAAGATCAATTGTTTTTAAGGGAGAAAAGAGAGACTATTAATCAATATTATGCAACACAAATAGAGTATAGTTAACTATTAGAAAAAAGATTTATGTTGAATAATTGCTTTTGTTGCATTCACCTTTTTACGAACTTGCATATCTACAGTATAGCATAATATATTTATGTACATTTGTTACATTCCTGATAACTGTGTATTTAAATACACATATATTTTATGTCCTTGAAATTACTTTGTGCATACATTTGTCATTAAAATCAATTAATCGCATATCTAATATGCCTCATTTTTCTTCTCATTCATCTCCTCAATTTTCTAAGAATAATACGAACCGAATGTTGTATTTAAACATTCGTTAATATTACGTTGTATCTAATGAAAAATATTCAAATTAAAAATAAATTAACAAAAAAAGCATCATTAACATAAATAGAACATTGTTTAATTATATAAAATAAATGTAGTTAAAAGCAGTTTTGGTAATAAAGTAAATCATATGGAACATTTATTAATCATATATCATCATTTTTAATTCTGGTTCTATCTTGCAATTCATTAATTATATCAACTGACTAATACTACTCGTGTTTTGACGAATTGACACGACTTAATATTCATTTTAGATGTTTGTTTCATAAAAAATTTTTTAGAAAATGTTAAATACCAGGGCGACTGTTAAATTATCAAAATTACACGACATTATCAACTTTATAAAGTCGTGCTAATTTTGTCGCGATATTTACTTTTTCTTCGTTTATTGCTTCTTCTGATTTAAGGTACAATAATTACACGTTGACTCAACTAGTATTGAATGTAAAATATCAATTTTACTTTATCTAAATAGAATTTTCTCGTTTTCTCGTCTCTCTATTTTTTGTATATTTCTGAAGGCAAAGTCATTTTTTGTTCATAATTACTAATTCCTTCCATTCGTGTTATTTTTTTTTATTGAATAGCCAGAAAAATTCAAGATTTTTTAGAATCTTACATATTAATTTTAATAAGGTTATTTAATTTATACAATGACTATATGGATAAAAGATATAACTGTATAGTCTTTATCCTTAATTAGTAATGAGCACAAGATGAATGAATGTACATCTTAGAAAGTATAATAGATATATGTATAGATACAAATATACATATATGTCGGGTATACGCACATATCTGTATCTTCGTAATATGTTGCTCTTCTGTAAAACACAATACTGCCAGTGTAACGACTAAGCACAAAGTTATGACGTACTTGTCGCTTTTCTAATCATCACACTAATCATACTAAGCAGAACAGAATAATTTTTAAGTAATTGAACCTTCATGACATATTATGAAAAAGAAAAATCTACTGAAATATTAAATTAAAAATCGATCGAAGTTTTAATCCCTTGGCCAACAACGATTGATCTTCTATAATTTGTTTCAATATATATTGAAAACTACATATGAAATACTCCCTTTGCACATATTTTTTTCGAAATACATACGTTCCTTACGCTGTTTTACTTAATTTAAGGTCGACTATGAACCGATCAACTGATCGTGCTATAATTAAAAAACCGGTATAAGTTACACGTTTGTTTCGCTGTTGCATTAAACGTTGTCGTGTCGTGTCGTATCACCCCTAAAATAATTAACAGAATTATAATGTCGCATATACATATATGTAGAATGTGTTAAAATAATCAACCCTAATTGAACAACAGCTAATGAGAGATTTCGTGTTATTTCGCTGTTTCTTCTTTGCATCTGCTTTTTAAATCTATATATCTTTTTTCTTATACTTATTTCCATGTATCGCATGTCTTCTCATTATTTTAGTTTTTGCTTTCCTCTAATCCATATACATACGCGGAACTGCACATTGTAATACTTAGTCGCACACATAGCATGTTTGCACACGTACACGCGGCATAATACGCATTCACAAAAATAAATCTCTAAGACAGTTCATGCGCACGAGCATAGCGTTGCTCTTTCACTTTCTTTCATTTTCCTTCTTCTTTATTTCTTTATCTTCGTCCTTCCTTTATTTTCTTTCGATTCGAAATCTCGGTAGCTTATCTACACCTTAAAAGCAACTGAAAATCGCAATAAGTTCGGTCACTCGGACAGGCGGTAAGGCTTTATTTACTCTCTTTCCTTCTTTTACGAGACGATAGTTAATTTTACTTTATTTGAATAATTGAATTTACTCTATTAAAATTAACATGTATTAATAATGCAATTATAACAAAGGTCCTGGGATTGTAACTCTTGGAACAAGAAACTATCTAATTTTACATAAGTTCAAGAGTTGTACAATAATTAAAGATTTGATCTAACCTCTCTCTAAGCTTTTTACTAAATCAATTGTTTTTGTACTTCTCATCTGTCTAATGTTCACAAATCTGTGAGTAATATTTAGAGAAAGTTTATTTCAAGGAATATGAATAAAAGATAAAACAGAATTTGCAATTTGATTATAACAGGACGTCAAACCTATTGTTAGTAATATTGTCGTTTAAATAGTGTAGGAATCGAGGAAAAAGGAAGGCCCAGGCGATGGAATTCAAATTTGTGATTTTTATCGTAGCCTTCCTAGGTCTTGATATTCCTAGATTTCACTTATAATGCGCCGGAGGATTTTCGGATCCCACAATAGAGATTTAAATAGTTAACTTGTAATTTTACAAAAATTTCTGGTGATTATTTAAATTAGTTTACATTTGTGATTAACATTCAAAGTTACAGAATAAGTACAGTTTGCTGTTGTAAAATATGTGGATATGCCAATATTATATTGTTTTCTGTTTCATATTTTTTCTATTCCTTACTAAAACAAAATAATGGTTATTTGAGCAAATATCATATACATTTTAAAAAGAATAAAATTCTACGAACATATTTTAACAAATAGATTAAAAGTTTTTTTACTTTTATGTGTCTTCCCAATGACCTTTGTTAATTAGGTGACTATTAATTGCTTAGATTCGTTGCTAATATAATAAGATACCATGCAAATAAGTCTTTTTTTTTCTTTTATAAGTAATAGATCTATAACAGTGTATTGCAAAATCAAAAATGTTTTTCCAGAATGATGAAAAGTAATGTACGTGTGCTACTGTATAATGTGAAATATCGCGTAAAATACGTAAAAATCACGTAACGCATTTAAAAATTAATTTACCTTTGAGCTGCGTATGACGGAGACTTGTGCTAAAGACGATGGCTCGAAAATACGTCGATGCATGAAGTTATTATTTAAGCATAATAAAAGATTGTGAACACGGGATTGAGTATACTACGAATATAAATGTATTACACCATTGTGCTAAGAAGAGAAGGTCAATGGTAGTAGTTAAAAACACATATTGTAAGCGCAATCGTAAAACAGAACTTTCATAAAGTAATTGTAAAAGTGCGTTTCGTAAAATTACGGATAATAATCACAATAACGTAGAACATGTTCATACTGTATTATTTACTGCGATCAAATAACTGAAGCGAACGGAAACGTAAATTTCAAAAACATATCAGAATATCATCGACAGTATCTAAGTAAAATGTCGGACGACGTAGAGTCCCGATCCTGGTTGTTAAGCCAGAATATCTCTTTCGAGTCTCTGCGTGTTCCGAGACAATTTTGCAAGATCATTCGTCTTTACGCAGCACACGAGGATCAGTACTACCGAAAACATACGGAACTTCTTGTTTTAAAACCGATCTGCTTACGAGACGAAGCGACTGGACTAGTCTTGTAGACTAGCTTGCGGTATGCGCAAGCGCCATGGGCCCGGAGACCCTGGACCAATTCGGGTACCGGTCCAATTCACAAAATGTCTCTCTTACATCTATCATCTATATTTTCGAGCAATAATTGCGTTCATAAAGATCTTTCACATGAAAACTTGTCAAAATGTTTTACTCGATATCCACTTTCATTTCTGGTCAATGATAAATAAATATTAGCGAGGAATTAATTTTACGAAAAGAATAGAAGACAAGAAAGCATATCACCGTAATGATACGGTACTACTGTACAAAAAAAAAAGAAGGAGAAACATTTATTTGTTCATAAAATGGAAAAGCAATCGAAATGCCTACTTTGACAAGTTTTCCAGTGAATTCTCCACGTGGATATCTCTTTATGACCGTAATATATTTTTCCATGGGACACTATCGGACCGGGTCCCGAGTCAGGTATATAGATGATATAATAATACTTGTGTAATAGCCCAGGGCCTCACTGAGCTTGTGCACTAGGATCGCACTGCAACAGTCGCACAATAGATGGATCACTTTTTGCACCCTCTATGAATTCGTCCAGCGATAACTTGCCATCCTTGTTCTTATCCATCTGCCGAAATATCTTATCGGTCCTTTTTTCCGGCGTGGACTCGTCCTCGGGCATTTTCATTACGGAACCCACCATTTTGTAGATCGCCTAATAAGGAAATCAATGTTTTATATAAAGTCAGTTTTACAATAGACGTTTGAAAATATTCATACGTGGATTCCAGTGATGATATGAGATTTAAGGAGATAAATTAGAAATTAAATTTTCGACAAATCAAACTCTTTTTCATTTTAATACTACTTTTTTTTTGCTAACGTTATTAAAAACGAAGTTATTTTAATATAATCTTAAAAGCTGCAACAAAATGAAGTAGATAGAAATGTTCCTGCAGTAGTGTGTGTTTCGAGTCGGACGGTAATTGAGAGCATGCATATAATCCATTTCAAGGATGATTCGTTACTTGAAAATAGTAAAAAAAGTTCATATAAGTACATATTTTATTTGACCTTTTGTACAAATTTTTCTCCGCCAGATATGTTTAAAATGACTACTTTGCATCTCGATAGTGCCGTTCAGTAATTGCCCGTACGGGCAACGTATTAGGGCATAAACAAATCGGCGGGCAACAGGCCATGCCTTCCCGGGTAACGGTGCATGTATTGTGCAGAGTTGGTAAATTGACAGACGGAAGGAATGCTGGTCTCATTGGTTGTAACAGACGCACTCATGCAGTCAGATTACACGCATTTATATTATTGGCCGAAACGGTCACATCTGTTAATCCATCGCGTGGCAGTGAGCGTCAAAGGTGGAGCGAGCAGCTTACTTCCTTTGCCCCTGTGCTATCTTGACTGCCAACTTACCAGCTTTGCACAGTATATAAGTGATGCAGTAACCATCGCCCATCTTAACACTTTGACGTCCGCTGTCACGTATACGTGACTTCATTTTTTTCTTTACCAGTAAAGCATTACATACATGATTACACTCTAATGTGCAGACGTGAGAGTGTTAAGAATAAAATTGTTTCGAAGATATGTAATACAAGCGTCTTTCCCTCACTCCGCTTTAATGTATGTGACATCATTAGCCCGCGACTTCGCCCTCAACTCTGCCCGCGGGCATAGACGAGCGCCCTTGCCCGCCTGAAGGTCTGCTGAACGGCACTGATATACACGGTGTCTTTTTTAACTGGAACACGGTGGAATATCTTGGAGAAGGAATTGAAGCTATCGAAAAAATGTTCTTACGAAAGTTGTTTAGTGTAATGGGGGATGATATAATGTGGCATAAGTAGTTTTTTTGTGGGTCAAGTAGTGGAGGGGATTTTAAGGTGAAGTTTATTTTGAGACGTTTGTTGAGACGAATTCAACCATGCGCCATATGAAGTCATTTCGTTTCATGAAAAATTATAAAATAGTGGAGAATCAGGGAATTAGGGCAACACATGTAAAACGAAATGACTTAATGTGGCATCTCGTTGAATTCCTCTCAACAGACGCTGTAATATTAAGAATAGGAAAACATAGCGTTCCATTAAAAAAGAAAAATTAACATAATTTTGAACTCTTCCCCAGTACTTCATCCACAAAGAAACTATTTATACCTCATTATGTCTCTCATTATATCAGACAACTTAGCTTCAGTTCCTTCTGAGATATTCCATTGTGTTCAGTTAAAAAATGTATGTATATTTGTAGAAATCTTTCCATTGATTTTACTGTTCTCTGGATATTTCTGAGTGTTGTTCAGATTCGATGAAAATCGTGTTTAACTTTTTAACAAAGCATGTCAATACTTTAGAAGGAGGTACGAGATGACCTTACTGTGACATTCATTTGCAAAAATATTTCAATGGAAGTAGTAGTAGCAATTTTTTTTTTTTTGGAAAAGATTATGAGACAAAATGTTTTCAACATTATAAGACAAAAATATAACTCGTACAGAATATGTCAAATACAATATATAAGTATATGTTTACTTGACTTTCTTTTATTTGTTATTTTTAAATTCATCCTTGAAGGTTGTTCTCCACATATGTGTATTTTGTGACAATCTGTACATATGCATATAATCTGTATTCTTAGAAATGATCAGATGATCAGTTTTACAATAGAAACATTAAATTTTGCATATACTGAAAAAATGTACTTTATTCTACTATCTTTGTGAGATTGTAAATCTATATGCACAGACACACAATACCTCAAATGAAAGGATACGGTGACAAAATATTTTGATACACGCAACCGGACATTTTGGCCAGGACATTCGTTGGATCTGAGTCCACTTAAATTTTTTCTACGGACTTAACGAAAGAATAATTTATACTCACGCCTATTTAATTCTGCAGAGGATTTAAAAGAATGAATTAGAGTACATTGTTCAACAGAAACTGTAAATCACCTTGATTCAGTCATGAAAACAATGATAAAAAACGATGCATGATGTATGTATTTGAAATATATAATGTAGCAGCATTTGAACATCTCCTTTAATGAAAACATTTATTCAGAAAATAAGTATCTAATGATATATTAATTTTTCAGGCATCTTACCTTAATATCGTTTTATGTAAAATGATGATAAAAATCGATGTATATGAAAAAAATATATTATACATTTTCACAAAAAAAAAAAAAAAAAAAAAAAAAAGGGCAGCAACTTGTACATATGACAGGTGTATTATTGCATTTACTGAGAGGATTTTCTCGTAGAAAGATATACATACATATCTCTTTAAATCGTTCAATTACTTTTTTTATTATGATTTTTGATAGCAACGAGAACAAGATATGTGGGTCGTATTAAAAGATGAAATTTACAAAAATAATTAAAAAAAAAAGGACAAAAACATTTCTTTTATTCAAACGTACATAAAAAGAAGATCTTTTAATATTTTGCAAAATCGTCCATCACGTCAAGGCAATGTGATTACAGGTCCAAATGCTAGACGATCTTTTGTTTCGCATAAATCATTTTCAGTCAACGATCAAGGTCTTGTTTCTGACATCGTCCAACCCGTTACACATCATTAATTAAACAGCATGATCCTTAAATGTATACTGCTGTTCGTAAGTATTACGACACCCGTTATGTTTGCGTCGAAAGTATTACATGATATAAATTACATTTCCTCGTCAAAGTTAGTCCCTTTGTTATATTTAGTAAAAATATATATAGTTATATTTATTACAAATATGTAAATGTATTTAGAATCTGAAAGTACAACGAGTAAATGGAAAGAATAATTTTTTTATTAGGATTTTAATCGTTTTGTAATGATTTTCTCGTATGTCAAACAATTTTACATTATACTTGTAATGACAATGAAGCTTGCTTCATATTCAGTAAATATATTTCGGTAGATTTCAGTAGAATTCAATAGATTTTAATCGATTTCCGTAGGTTTCGAAGGATTTCAATAGATATTAATGGAACACAGTAGATTTTAATGGAATTCAGTAGATTCCACTAGATTTTAGAAACTTTAGTAGATTTCCATAGGTTTCAAGAGGTTTCAGTAGTAGAATACAGTAGATTTTAATAGAATTCAGTAGATTCCACTAGATTTTAGAAACTTTAGTAGATTTCCATAGGTTTCAAGAGGTTTCAGTAGTAGAATACAGTAGATTTTAATAGAATTCAGTAGATTCCACTAGATTTTAGAAACTTTAGTAGATTTCCATAGGTTTCAAGAGGTTTCAGTAGTAGAATACAGTAGATTTTAATAGAATTCAGTAGATTCTACTGGATTTTAGAAACTTTAGTAGATTTCCATAGGTTTCAAGAGGTTTCAATAGATATTAGTAGGTTTTAGTAGATTTTAGTAGATCTCAGCAGAATTCAGTAGATTTCAATAAATTCCAGTAGAATTCACTAGATTCCAGTATGCTTCACATTCAATAAGTGTCCTAATACTTACGAACAAGAGTGTACATTTCTTTAAATATAATAAAAATTCAAAGTCCACTGTTTGATACTTTGTTTTTTTATTGCCCTTTGGAGAAGTATGCAATAATTTCGGCGTTGTAACCGTAATATATTCCCTAATCGATTCATTCTTACCGTCACGATTTCCAGCATTTCTTGCCGCGATATGTAGCCATTACCATCGAGGTCGTACATACTGAAGGCCCACTTTAACTTCTGTTCCAATTTACCACGAGATGTTACACTGAGGGCACATAAAAATTCTCGGAAGTCGATCGTCCCATCCCCATTTGCGTCGAACGTCCTAAACACATGTTCTGCAAACTAACCAAGACATACACGTGAATAGATGACCGCAAATTTCATAATTTTACCAATTTTGTTGTCATTAGAAAATTTAGTCACAGTTTTCATTTCAAAACCACTAACTGTTATTATTGAACTTAAAAATCCTTTTTTTTTGGTAATTATCTGGAAAAGGGAGCCTGAACACTAATTTCGTTGAATTTTGGATATGTTGTAGAGGGAAGGGTCCTAAGTTACGTACACTTTGTTCCAGGCGTGGGACGATCGTGGTTCAAAAGTTATGAGAAAAAGAAAGTTGTACATGTTACATTACATTTACTACAATATAAGTGATCAAAAATGAAATTGCATATGCATCCGCATAAGATTGCGATCCTGATACTGGTAAAGTATGGTTAATAAATTTTCTTTTTGTCATAAATGTTGAACCACGATCGTTCCACGCCTCTGACAAAGTGCATGTTACTTAGGACTCCGCCCTCTACAACAGAGGCGCTTAACTTCTTGCTCACGAGCAAATTTCCCCTCCCGAGGTTCCCCCACTATGCGACTGGGATGGTCTCGCTCGAGTTGGGGCGTGGCGGGAGGAGGACGCTAGGAGTCCTCCCACCACAACTCCAGCGACTGCC